AAATCTACTGAATCCCATTCTGTCTGCATTCAAAATAAACCATTCAGAAAATTTACGATTTAACCTGGCTTCATTTTGGCAATCTGCTCTAAAACCTGCATGAGTTGTATGATAAACAAAAACAATCCGATGTATCGTGGATTCACTTTACAAATAAAATGTCACATCTTCTCTCAACGACTTATGAGCATGTGCAATGTATTACATTGACGGTGTTAAACGCTAATCCTCAGCTAATACGTTTTACAAATCCGGGAAATTGACAAGAGAACATGATGCAAAAACGTATTTAAAATTCATTATCACTTGTAACTGAAAACAATCGCTTGGAAAATTGTTTAAATATGTCATGATTTTTCTGATCTTTTGATTACTTCGATTTTGGACAATCGAAAGTTCGAAAAAAAATTGGTAGATATATGATATTGTTAAATATATTTCAAGTGATTACTTTCGATTGTCAAATTGAATTTTGTTTTTCATTAAATGAAGTCATTTCCATTTTGGAATGATTGAAGAGTGGTATAGATTTGACAACGCTGAAGTCTACATTCACATACGCGCATGTGATAGTAGTTCGTCTATGTATGCAACTCGGAAACTGAATACAATTTCGATGAGCATAAAATTTATTTGAATATTCTGAATTGGACACATGTGGCGAACGATGGAAATGCATCGCTTTTTCTTTCCGCCCGGCAAAAATGCTGCATGAAGCAGCAGACACATAGCCATCAAATTGGACCATTGCAGTTGAAAATGTTAAAAGACATTACATGCAATATAAACAAATCCTGTCATTTAGAATCGATTCAGCAGAAAAAGAAGCGCGCGAAAGGCAATAGAGCGGGGTTTTTGCTGATACATTTCGAAGCGAATGGATTGAAGAAAGCAGTTAAAGGTAAATGGGAAAGACAACAGATGTGACCGAATCGAGAGATATTAAAATGAGATTTAGCGGCCATTAGAAAATCAGCTCCATATGTGACCGAAAAAAGACGATTCTCTTTTTTTCGGGTGAGCAGAAATGATTGAACGAACAAAGGGCTGCAAAAATTACGACGCGCATCGACAAAATCTTTACGATGTCAACGACAAAATTAAAATATGAATAAACCACAGCTGAACGCTTACAATATCGTTATAGAAAATCAAGAAGAAAAGAGTTCACGGAGCAATCATGTTAAATTATGACAAGGTTTTTTTTTTGCAAACGCTCCGATGTTCTAGGATAACAACAATATTTTCTTCTGATTTATATTTTTTTGGTTCATTTTCACGATTCTCATTACTGCAATCCTGCGCGCAATTTCTTTCCTGTCAACAATCATAACAACTGCATATAACTTTTTTTTGCAAAAGTTTTTTTTTCTTATCAGTTGTTCATTCATACACCGATAATATAATCCACATCACATACAAGCAAAAAAAAAACGAAGTAAAAAACCGAGAATGGTGAATTTGAGTAGTGAATATAGTGTGAAAAAAAAACTGTTGCCGTAATCTTGAATGAGATTAAAATTTCAAATTGTTTCCTTTGGGGCATGTCTTAATCGCGGATATTTGTAATGGTATGTGAGCGATAGCTACATATTTTAATGAACGATGACGTTGAAGATGGGTGCGGCGAAAAGGATTGCAGTTTTTTTTTAAATCTTCATTATAGACCAGACAGTACTTATGAATCGAACGCGAGTAAAATTGCAGACGTGCCAACACATGCACGAATCCGAAAATTTTTCCAACACCATTTCGATGTTCAACACCATAGCAATGACGTTAAACCAATTTCATATTCATCGAACGCATCTTTCTCGTACTACGTCTATAAATAAATAGTGGTGTGCACAGTGCATGAGAAACATAGTGCGAGAGAACCATTTTTTTTTTTCGTGCAAGCGTATAACATTCAATGCATGCGCATACATTATGATGGTATTTTCAGTCTATCGTCTCATATTTAAAGCGATTTTAATTTTAAGTAACACTTTTCGACAGTGGCATGTACACCCTTTGCATAAATAATGCATCGAATTGGCTGCAACAGAACACATAAAACGATTTCCCCTGTTTTCACTTCGATTTTCGCTTTAAGCAGCAAACTTAACATGCTGCACGTACTTCAGAAAAATATGATAATTATACCGATTTTTTTTCGTCGTTTCAACCATTTTTTTTAGACAAAAAAATACATGTTCAATCTGTATGATGGCACCTGAATGGCACATTTTTTGCGAACCGAATCGCTGCCAGCACTAGCACGGTTCAACTATGCTGAAGATATATGAAATGAATGGGATGTCACAAATGAACACAATTATCGAATACGTGGAATATGGTTTGACTCAACTCGGCAAATGCAAAACTTAATCCGAAATATTCTGCATACGATGAGTTGAACAAGAGTACCACATGACCCTGCTTCAGGAGAATATTGGATTGGTTATAATTTATCAACAAATCTAATTAATTACAGCACTTTCAAATAAATCATATATAATAATTTGTAGTTTTAGTCGTGGAGTTTTATGATACGGTAAGACTTACCACTACAACCTCAAATCAGAGGTGAAAGATCAATTTTTTGACATTTTTTCTGATTTCGGATGATGAGTAATAATCAAAAAATCGTCTAGAAATGAAAAAAGACAAAACGAAAAGTTTCTACTAATGACGAATATTTTTGCATCTTGTAAATGCTCCAAAATGTTGTTGCTGAATAAAAATTCATTGTAATTTGATATAAAGCAATTTCAGATAGAATTGAAGAGTGTAATTACCAATAATATTCTCTGTTTAATTTATACATGACCGTGGATATCATTTTGAAAAACTTCAATTTTTCCAATTTTCCAAAAAAAAAAAATTAAGATTGGTTTTGTTTCGAAAGAAAACACATCTGTGCTTTATGTCTTTTGCATTATCTGTCGTTTCTATTTGCATTGAAATAAAAATACGCTGTTTGTTTCTTTTTTGCAATCGGTCGATGTCATTAATTATAATGGCTAGTCAGAGATATCAAAATTATATCGCACTTAACCAAATGGCCACCATAACATTTCCAATTCGAATCGTTAAATGAGAAATGGTTCTTCATGAGAAATTGTTGGACAGAAATTACAGTCAAATGGTCGGTACTTATTTGGGGTTGAGTATTTGGCAAAGTGTTTTTCGACTGTATTGTACCGAGAGCGTCGAAAATATCATGCATCGCCAGAAATTCGTTTTATATAAGTAGGATGTGCCAAGTCTTAATGTCTTCACTCATATTTCTCCATTCGTTTTTTTTTCACTTATAAAATGTACCAAAAAGCCGCCACTATTATTAACCAAAATGAAGAAAATAGAAACGATTTTTACTTTTACATCATCTTTTCCAGAGATTTTTTTTCGGTGCATTTTCCCTTATCACACAACATTTATAATAATGGACGAAAAATAGTTTTTCTCTGAAATAAGTGTTTCACACTGTATGTCTCTCACTCTCTTTTTCCCCGCCACGCAATTCATTGAACCTGGAACATTGTTGCATTGCGTTTATTTAATTGTATTTTCATTGTTTTGTTCATTTTCAGAATGTACATTAATTTGGAGACGATGAACTGAATGAAGTGCTTTTACTGATTCATATGTGAGAGATTTTGTGCAGACAAAACACTTCTAAGTTAGTTATGCTGTAGACAGAATATAAGAAAGACAAATGCCAGCCCAGAAGAAAAGTGGAAAGCAGGAACAAAAAAAAACCGAAGAAAAGTGAAAAAGAAAAAAAGCAACGCTTGTCGAAAAACAAAGGGTAAGAGTAAGATTTATGGGTATTTGCCGCATTTTTGGCCAAATAAACGCAACAGACAACGATACATTTGGCATCGAGTGAGTAAAGAAAAACATCGCAAAGTATCAGGGAACAGCTCTTTAATTTGGATGAGTGAGCTGAGTTGATTTCAAAAGTGCACGGTTTCGCTTTTACCCATATTTATTGTCTCGCGCACAGGTCACATATACACGCATCAATTACATATATGGATGTGTGTGTACTCTATAGAAAATAATAAACATGATGTAATGAAGCAAATTTGCGTGTATAATTGAACAGCAACTTTGAATAAAACTTCTATATTTGCGTTTAAAAAAACATTAAATACATTCTTGTATTCCATTCAAACATGCACTATGTTTTATCCAAAGTGCATCCCTTTCTCATGCGAATTTTGTGATTTCACTTCTATTGTTTTATCAAACACTTGAATAAATAAAGAGTGTTTACAAACACTTACTTATGACATGGCATGAATGCCGGCAGCAACATTCTCTTCAACTGTGAATACTTTGAGAGTAAGAAATGTATTTGCCAGTTATATGTTCGCTCCATTTACTTATTTATTTAGCTGAAAGTCAAGTTCAAACATTGCACTGCTTGAAGTTGGTGTAATCAAATCGAATATTAAATGGAATTGCGTTCTATTCAGACGCACAAGTTATTGCCCTTTTGTCATAACAAATTATCAAGTTCATAACGATTAATTGTAAAATACAAGAACGGAAAAACGAAGCAGGAAAGAGATAGAAAGACAATCCAGACGAATCAATGCAAAAATTCACACCAAACACATGAATGCTCTTGGATTTTCAAATGAAATTATATTCATTGTTTTTTTTCTTCTTCGCAACAAAAACCAAATATTTTCATATTCCAACTTTCCAAATATATTACGTACATTCTCAGATAAAACTTGAAATTGTTCCATTTTATGGTGTCGGTGCAAGCAAAGTGGTAAAACCACACAGAACAGAACAAAAGTGAATAACGATAACTGTATTGCTTTATTCATAAGTACCCAGTCGCTTTTATTGATTCAGTTTTTTTCCAATTCATACACCAAATTGTTTCGAAATTTTGAATGTTTCGGATTGTATAGTATCAGATTAATCGACATTACTCGTTATGAGACGAAGAGAATCTGAATAAAGGAGAAAATAAAGCAAGTACAAAAAAGACGACATTTCTACTGCAACAAAGTCTGCGGATTTGTTTATTTATTCAAACTACTTTCATATATGAATGGTTTTTATTAAGGTCCATTACAAATGCTTAAATTTGAAAAAAATTACGTATTCAGTGAATAGTATTCACACTCTAAATATATGTGAATTATTTCAGTTCCATTTTAACTACATTCATTGTCAGCTCGATTTGCGCTGATGAAAATCATTTCTTGCTCAAGTCGCCTCACTCTTTGTTCGATGTCTTTGAATTTTGAATCGATTAACTCCAAAATATTTAGTTCAACAATGTGAAATTGTTCATAAATGAAATCACGCAATTCGTCGTTTATTCGTGGTTGTTTTCGTTTATCTTTAGTTTGTTGGTGTATTTGATCGGGATAACAAGTCGTTTCGCCGTTTACACTTTGTGATTCCCGGTTGACAGTGTATTTCTTCTTCGTCGTTGAATCGGTTGCTATAATTTTATTACCATCAATGTTAAGAATTTCAAGTTGCGACATGATTCCGTCCAAATTCAGTGTCAATATTTCATTAAATGAAACATCCAATGCATTCAAATGTGGCAATCGATTATTATTTTGTAAATCAAATCGTTTCAATTTGTTGTGACTAACATCGAGCTGCTGTAAGTTGATGAGTGTGTCAAAGAGTTGTGCGTCGATGTGTGTAAGCAAATTATGTGATAAATTCAAGTATTTCAAACGATGGAAATATGTCACATTCTCAATGGATTCCAACCGATTACTGGCCAAATTCAATGTGACAAGTGAATTTTGCGATGGAACACTTAAATTGTCCAAATCGATTTCGCGAATTTCATTGTTTGCTGCAATCAGTGTATGCATACGTCGGCTTACTCTACAGATTTTGGCACCGCCAACATTATGTACATCGACCGTTTCTGCATCCAGCCAAATCGAATCATGTGAAGTGACAGCCAACGTTGGATTATTGTGCATCGAAAATGTTTGCATTGACCTTGGCGTGGATTGTACATCGGTCTCCACAACATCGATAATTTCATTTGAATGTAAATGGAATACGTTTAGATTGGGCGTAAAATCGAAAAGTTGCCAGTCAATTTCCCGTATGCGATTATTGTTTAATGTCAAAACGCGTAAATATAAAAGATTTTCAAACCATTTTGAATGTACAACGGTTAATTGATTGTTGTGCAAATACAAATATTTGATCAAATAAGATGTGAAAATGTTTTCATTTAATGCATGCGATTTCAGTAAATTGAATGACAAATCTATTTCTGTCAATTTTGGTGCCGCATCAAATGCGTACGATGCAATGTGTTCGATGTCATTTGACGATACATTCAAGCGACGCAATGAATTTGCACGCTCTAAATCGGTTGATTGAATTGATTTTAAGTGTTTATGGGTCATTTGAATGCTTTCAATATCCGGATAACGATCGAAAAAATTGATCGGCATTTGTTCGTCATTCCATTCGATAATAATTGCATCCGTTGCGTCTCTTTCAATGCAATTCAATGTACCATCGATACTTTTCCATTCGCCTTCTTCATTTAAATCCGATCGCATCCATGTTTGATACACCAATTTCATCGGTTGATTATCGATATTCACCAGAATCACCGACTGATTTTTCGCCCATGCATTTCGTAAATGAATCAACATCAGCCAAACGAACAATTGTAACGCTCGCAATGAACTCCATTTTCTGAAAAAAAGGCAACGCAATAGTTTTATTTTTAAATTAGCGGTCAATATACTTCGATGCACCGATAAACTTACAGCATGTTTTTTGTGTTTCAAAAAAAACTTGATCGCAATAGACTATTATGTGTTTCAACTGTCACGCTCGAGAGTGCTTGAATGACTGAAGTTCGTGTAACTTTTTATAGCAATGTGTGATGTGAACGAGTTTCACGAAAAAAACAAACAAAGATGTTTTTGATGGTGTAATTACGATAGCGAATTTTATTGTACTGCACTGTTTATTGCTTTTGAAAATACAAAATCCATACTTTTTTCCCTTTCCAGTGTGAGTTCAATCAATGTAGCTTAACAATGATTTCCGTAACTATTTTTGCACATCAAAAACTTTCTACGGATTTTTTTCTTAAATCCGAAACGACCAAACTGCTGACTTGATGTGCGTACTGCGTAGCGGCAAAATGTGAATAAAATGTGATAACAATGACATTTCGAAATGGATGCATAACTAACGGGCAACACAAAAGATTCACAAACACGAACATCGTCTGCCTAAATGATGTACCGATCGAATATCATACGTATACCCTGTATTTCTCTACGTTTTCCATTTGTTGTGACGAAAGAGCGAATGGCTCATGCAATTATTTTTTATCAGATAATTTTGTATTGGTGTGTCATTCGAACATTGTTGCCGTACCGGCAACGGTGTGTTTCGTCTCGTTTGCCTCACACAACTGTTCATTTTTGCAAATGGTATGTTTTCTATTTACGTTGTATTTTAACTCTGTCAAAACAGCTTCGGCATCACGCACAACAGAAGCACATATACATATACAAACGACAACAATTTTAAAATACGTCACACAACTTGGAAATAATTCTTCTTGGTGAATGTGTGATAAGCTAAAACTACATCATTCTCTCAATGTATTTTTCCTAGTAAACAATGTTACACACCGGTTTTCTGCCAACCGGCTATGTGTAGTGTATCAAATACATGGCCGAGAATGACAGAAACACATTTCATGTTTGTATTTCTTGTGTTATCTATCATGCGGCGCCTGACGTCAGCCAAAAAAGAAATGAATTATTTGTATTTCAAACGATATTATTTGTTTCCATATATATTTTCATTCTAAACATTTATTGCATTCTCGTTTTTCACATGTCTGACGGAAAAAGAATGTCGAAATTAGAATGAGAACCACTACAATATTGTGTACATTGTCCAGTGGCATGTTTTCTTAGTGTATATTGTAAATGGCGATCAAAGTAAGCAGAAGGCCTCGTCAATTGCACCGTGAATGCCCGAAAAAAGTGGCGCTGGTTACATAAAACTAAAAAAAATCACATGCCTGATGGAAAATAAAAGGTGTAATCCGACGCAAAAAAAAATCTCAACGATAAAATGTACATATACATTATATTGCATGCAAGATTCAATGTCGTGAAAAAATTCTTCGCAACAATGTCCAAAGGAAACCATGCAAATGCTACACTAAATTAAACATATTTAAATCCGACAATTTGAATTGCAAACTTTGAACTGCATCAACAAATATGTGGTGTATTCATAGCATCTGTAGTGGTGATCACCGGATGACTCGTTGAAAATGTGTTAGACGAGTTTTTCATTTCTTTTGTCCGTCATCTCAGGCGGTGATATTAGAATAATATTATTCTGTAATGTAAGTACAAAGTGGAACAAGTCATGTGCAGCTCATGGAGCTTAAATCGATTTTTGGTTTTCTCGTTCTCTCTCGTTTTTGCGCTGATTTCACTGTAACGGGCCGAAACCAGATTGTTGGTTTTAATGCAAACGGGCCCATTCAGTCACTTGTGCTCTCACAAACCACTAAAATCAATTTAAAACTAAATGAAATAGATTTATTCGATTTTATTTTTTGTTTGTTTTTCGCTCTCACTTGCCAACCACACGCTCACAGCAACTTTTCGATTGACATTTCATTTCGATATGCTTACATTTTGGTCAGCCGTAAACCGATCTGATTGTACGATAAAATACTATATCTTACTATTCATTCCATTGAGGTAAAGAAAAAAATCCATTCAATTTAAATCCGTTTCAAACTCAAGCAAATATTGAACAATTTAACCTATCTAATTTGATGAACATAATCGCATTTCGATTATATCAGTTATACAGCATGAAATCGGACAATGTGCAGATCATCGACCGGAATTCATACACGGATGAGCATATCATTCACCTCACAAAGTTCTACGGAAAGTGACAACGACAGCAATCAAATGGAAACCTTCTTTGCGGTTTTCGTAATACGATTTCATGCATCATATGAAATGTGGTAAGATATGTATCTCATGTCAGGTCTTTTTTAGTCCATCACTTTTTCTCTTTGAATAAAAATATTTTATTCGATTTAAAAACAATAATCAAATATTTGGAATTTCTTACACTGAACTGAAAAATTGAATAACTAATGGAAAAATATGTATGTCTCTTGGAAATTATATTTTTAAATGAAAATTTGCAGAAAACTACAATTAGAACATTTGATAAAAAATCGAAGAAATAGAAGATATATTCACTTCAGTGATATTTAATTGAAATTTGGTGTATTTTTTTATTTATAATTAAACATTTAAAATGCGTTTCTAATTTTGCTTAAATTAGAACAAATATAAGACATATTTTTAGTGAGAAATATGCCTTATGTTAAGTTTTTTTGAAGGGGATAAGTAAAGTTATTGGTTGATAATGAAGTCTTATCCAGCAACGTGACTGATGTATTCAATACCGTTTTCGTCGTAGGTTTCATTTCGTTCATTTTGAGGCGGATTTTTCAAATATTTTGTGTCCACAGTTTCCGAACACTTAATTTCTTTGGATTTTTCCGTTACATAAGTACCACGCTTACAGCACAAATTTACACATGTTTTCTTTTCAGATAATTGGGGGTCGCAATTCAAATTCGTTAAGGATGGATGCAACAATACACCAGACAATTATTGAACGCAATTTTAAACGATACATACTTCTATGTTTGACTGTCTTCAACATACTGACTGAGAGTCATGTCTCGAATAGTAATGAATTTTAAAACATGATTAATTCAATAGTATAAAAATATAATACGAAATAAAACATGAAAAAGATGCTTTTGAGATTAAATAAATATATTCGCATGAACACAATTTCTTTTGGTCGATAAGCGTGCAGACAAAAAAAGGGTCAACTGTAAGCCACATCTGGCTCGCTTAATTCTTAACCGTCCATTTATCGCATTTATACATATATTTTTGTATCTCCAAACTGTTTGCTACCAACATACAAAATATTTAGCAAGAAACCTTTATCAAGGCGTAAACCGACATTTTTTCATAGATTTTGGCTCCATTAAAAGTGTGAATTATGTAAATGGAATGTGAAATAACTCAACGGCTATCACGTTTTTGATTTTCAAAAAATGCCCGATATTTCCAAAAAATTATTCCCAGTAATATGTTTGTGCGTCGTAAACACATGTATTCAAAAGGATTTAAAGGAGGCTAATTGCATTTTTTCCAAGATGCTAAAAGAGATTTATCAAAAATCATTTTCTGCAATGTTTTTTATTATGGAAAGCAATGGAATCAAAATTTGAAACCACTCTCTCAAAATGCTTGAAATGCTGACAATCGAAATACGGTAAAATTACATTATCTGTGCACAACGAATTGAAAAAAGGACAAATGTCTTTACTAGTTATCGATACCTTTAATGATTCAATGGAGATTTACTCAATCGATGCTTTATAATCCATGATATGATCATGAAAATGAGAATAATCCAAACCAAACATGTGTTTCCCGTGTACTTTCTGCGATGCACAATTACTATATCCAATGATTTTCGGCGAAATAAATATCGAATATAATGCTATAAATTTTAAACATACGCAGAGCAATTCCTGAATTTAATTCCATTTAATTTTTTCATTCACATTAATTTAACGCCCATTGTTTTTGTATAACGAGGTAAAATCAGCATATAATCAAACCATTAAAAAAGTTTCAATATTGATACAGTTCGTCATTTTTCTAGAATATTGTTTTGAATGCAATATTCTAAGAAGTTCAGTTCCTTTTGCAATATATGAGTATTCATCGGAGTAAAGACCACGCAAGAGAAAAAGAGAAAAAAACTAACGGAAAAAAGTATGACTCAATCATAACGAGCTAGTTTCCAGTTTGTCAACATAATGTTTGCACATGACAGATGAATCTGAAAGAAAATTGCAATCGAAGATTTAGTTCCGAACGGTGACACGAAATCGCAAAAATAAACATTCAAACAATTTTATGAATAAGATTAGCAATTTCCCTTGAATAAAGTGAAGACGACAAAAAAAACAAATCTGTGTGATAGAGAACGGAAAGCAAATATAAAATCGTCATGTCAGTTTTTTTTTCAGCTGGAGTATGTGCCATTATAATACTATAGCCAAAATTCTGTGAAAAATGTCGTCAATGTTGTCTACACAATGAATTTGTTCCGCTGTGAAGATGTAGCTTTATTCTCAGAATGAGAGGCAAAATATATATGTATATATAACTACACGTATGTCGGCAAACAAGAGCAACTTTATGCGCTTGAATTCTCCAACTGTGCGAATTTGATTTGTTTTATCGATTGAGTTAGTTCGTGTCTTGGCATTTGCCTGTAAAATGCAATGCCAACATCAGCATTCCCCTTACACTCGCGTACAGCGCATTTCTCTTCTCTTTCGTTTTCTTCGGCTTCGATTTTTTTTTTGTTCAACATTTTTTTTTTACATGTGAATGCCAAAATTGACTGTAAGTAAATAAAAATCTGCCTGAGTTTTGTCGGCACACATTCACAATTCGATTGGCTGATAGTGGTTGGTGTGCTTCGAACATTATTATGCACGCCAATAACGAACTATATTTTGAATACATTGACTGGAAAACGAAATAAAATGGTTAAAATGTGATTGAAATATTTAAATGTTAACTCGAGGAGGAAAAAATTGCACACCCTCACCACTGTGCACATCATCTTCAATAGGCAAATATTAAAACGTAACAAAAAAAAATCCGTGAAAATATAAGAAAAATTGTGTTTAATCGAGAAAGTTGCACCTTGAAAAGCCAACAAATGTGGTTGGTCCATGAGTTTTCATGGATTCCTTTTTTTCCTCCGAAAACTATGCATGTTCCACTTAAATTGAAAAGTTAAAGTTTTGCGCATAAAAATCGAACCATTCGAAACCATTAGTACGATTGGAGTTGTATTTTTTTGCTCTCTTCCTCTCTCTCTCTCTCTCTCTCTCTCTCTCTCTCTCGAAAATATGAACTTTAAAATTTGCATAAAATGTTTTCAGAAGTGATAAAAAGTTTAAAAATCAAATAACGAATTAAATATAACATTGTCGAAGTGAATTTTCATTGTTTCGCACGTATTCTCTGAAATCCATTGCAAAATTAATCACAAAAACAATTGTTCACCGTGGCAGAGAGAAAGTTTTCAAATATGTGGAGAAAAAAATACCAAAGTGAACAAGTGATGTGCTCATATGACAATTCATCTCTGAATCAACGGAGCAAGAAATTACAATGCGATTTCCATTTAAACCGATATAATAAAATGAATTGCATGAAACACGACGATTTATACGGCGAACAAGCAGTCGTCAAACGAATGCCTGAGGATGGGAGAGGCACTGGCAAAACGATAACAACCGTAAAATGTGAAATGAAACAAAATACATTGGGAATGCGTTATCAAGCAATCCTCGTTTTTGCGGGTTTTTTTTGAGTGGAGTATAATTTTACATTTATTTTTTTACATCACAGAGAATTTTATTCGGAACTTAATATGGATAAAATTATTCTAATATTTTATTCAAATATTGAAAAATGCATAAAATAGACCTGATGATGATAGTGATAATAGAACTCGTAATTATTTTATAAAAAAACTAATTTGCAGGAATTAAAATGATTAAAAAAAGGTGACATTCAACATTTAAGACAGTGGGTTTTTCAGACCTTCTGACGTACTTCAAATTCAATGAATTATTTGTTGTTATACAAATGCTTCTGTCATTTTGAAATTGGTGTGTGTTTTGATATCAAGCTTCATGATAATTAGGCACATTCTATTAGAAATGCTAAAAGTGGCGTGTGAAATAGTAATTAGCAATCTAGCAAAATAATTTTTGTACATGATTCTATTAGAGTTGAAATATGAAGCTGATAATGAAATAATTATGTTTCATTCATCAGCATTACGTTGGCGATCGAACAAATACCAAAAAAAAAATGTAGGAGTGAGTTTGTATTTTGTACATGTTATATTGACAACAAAGTTTTGCTTAATCATATTTGAACTCAGAGGGGAGAGCAAAATAGATAAGGAACACAAATAAGAGTAGCTTACGATTTATTTTGATTTCAGTCATTCAATAACCAATTAACTGTGAACTGTTTTCTGTTCCAAACACTTGTGCTCTACTATTTATAACGATTTATAATGTTATTTGGAATAAATTTTACTTTTTTCGTGTTAATACTGTTGTCTCTTTTTACAATAAATTGTGCAGTTCCCCTGGATAATAACACTAGTATGTATTATTAATTTTCGAATATTTTTCGTCAATTTTTTATTTCCACATGCAATCGATACTAAATGTTAACGATGTCTAATTTTCATAATTCAAGATTCAACAGTACCAGATAGAGCAAACTATATAGTGCCAATTGCACCACCTAATCCAAAATGCAAACCACCAACAGTTGAATATAAAGGCAAATGCAGACGAGCACCCGAATATGATATGTGGAAGTTTTAATTTTCTTCAATCTCCTGCATGGGTATTTCATTTGATTTAGATATAGTTGTTGAATATTGGGAAGACCTGCTCTTTGATTCTACTCCACACAATATTTTGCATCTGAAAATTGGAGAATGATATCGAATTCTAATCAAATAAAAGAAGCGATTTAAATTAGAAATATAAGTACCTCTGTTTTATTAAATTCAACACGCGTCTCTTCAATACAAATAAGATACATATAAATACGCCATGTAAAGTGTTAATTATGTCGGATATCATAAATAGAATACTATCGGGTGATACAAAACAAATGGCATCAATCGACCAGGTCATGCCCATCACAAAGAATAAACGCACAAACAATGTAAAACTGTAATGATAAATCACTAATTACAAATCGAAATATTTGATTTAACGTCTTTCAATGCAAATTACTTATATTTTTTATTATCGAAGTTAATCTGATGTTTGCCACTTTTGTTGTCTTTTGTATGAAAATAAGTATTAAGTTCACGTTGTACTCGTCGAATTTTTACAGCAGTTAATACAAAAAACATAATATTAACGAAGAATATTATGGTAATTGGCAGGTGTAGAAACAGGAATTTTGACAGTAGATTCTCTGAAATTAAATTTACAAGGAAAATGCTGTTTGCAAAGCATAAATTAATGATGATACCTTTAATGAAGCAGCCTTCAGTGCCAAATCCTGGTTTAAGATTATATGGAATTGAATCAACTTGATCAATCACAGCAGCTGTAGCTGTTAAAGCAATGGACGAAATCCACACATAACACGAGTAAATGTGAAATAATTTTTGATCAGAATGCTTCTTATATCGAATGGTTGAACTATCAAAATAATAATTTATTTTCAATTTAATTTCAACAGACCCATGTAAATGGAAAGAGAAACAGAACTTACCGAAAACTTAACCACAAGTCAAAGCTAATTGCATTCAACCACAGCGATCCGGAAAAATATGTTAGGTAAATGACATATGCCAGAGTTTTACAGGGTATTGGAGCCACATTAATGCCAGCATTCAAATAAACATATGACAACGCAATGTAATATACGAAGAGGCTAGTATCCAATTAGAGAGTCTTTTAATTGCATTCATTAGATATAATAAATTTTATTTAGCCACCACCTTAAGAGATAGCACAATAAGCATTTGCCCAGCAAATTCACTAGCTCTGGTATGCAAATATAAACCATAAAAGTGAAGAATATCATTGGTATCGATAACATCATCGCTATTAAAAAAACGACAATTTTATTTTTTAAAAAGCATTTATCCAAAAAAAAATGTCAAGTTCATATGCGCTCACTGTATGGCAGAATAGAATATCTGATGTGATACTCTTTATTTTTTCCCAAACATTGCATGGCTTCCATTTGAGTTTCATTCGTTATTTTGAGACAATATTCACTTTGATCAATGTATTCATCTTCAGTTAAAAGGTAACCTTTCTAAAATTAAAACAAAAGAACTCTCCGTTAAAACCATGATCCGATGTTATTACTAAACCATATTACTTCAGTTATTTTGAAATCATCTACGTAGAAATAAAATTGGCATATTCGATTGACGAAGCCAAATTGTTGATCGAAACTAACAACTTTGGTTTGATTATGTTCGTAAATTACTTCACTGTATAGATTTTCGGCTGCATTATGATTATAGCATGCAAAACTTCCATCAGTTCTTATTGATTGTACGAATGAACCATACGGACAACAAAGTCGAACACACGGCTTTATATTGCACGGACAACCTCGGAAGTATGGTTCGACTATCACAGGTCTTCCATTTTCAAGAATGTAATTAACTTTAGCATACTGATTTTCTGGAAATTCCATTTTATTGAATGTAATACTTTGATTTGCATGAAGAATACCACTTGATATATCGATCGAATCAACGAATTTACACGGTAGCTCATGAACTAACAAGGATGCTTCAATCCGCAATATACTATGCAATAATTGAATGATAAACCACTTGAATGAGTACACTCTATGTCGGTACATTTTATAGAAGTTTCTTTAAGGAGATTCACTTTGATTTTTATTAATTTTTTAGATTAATTATTAAAGTTCTTCTTCTTTAATTTGTAGTTGTTTATCGCTTTTACTTGCCGAATTAACTTTTGTACCAAAACTAATGAGGGCCAATTGTATACTGAATGAACTCAACGCTTAAGCGATGAATGTGTCATATTTCAGTTGAAATCGCGCTTGTTTGTGTATGAGCTACTCTCAATGTTTGTTGCTTTTTATGTCGTACCAATAGCAAAACTTATTGGACGTTATCTCCTACTGTGGCACTGGCCGTTAAATGAACACCATATTACGCTTTTATATCATATTTTTGCTATAAAAATTTGTTAGTGTCTTAGATATTAACACAATTTTATGATGCGCACGCAAAAATATGATAAATAGCATTTATATTCCTTCAAGCGTACCCTTGAGAGAATTTTTTGACAATATTGATTAATATTCTGTCACTCATATACTTTGCAACGCACTTTGTACAACTAACTAAGGCATTTTATCTTGATTAGAATTTCAACAATCGACACTCATGATAATCGAACAATTAAACCAAGGAAGCTAATTGAATTTACTTAAGGTGAATTTAAATTAATCATAGTCTGAACAAAAACCCACTCGAAATGTGCGTTTCACTACAATTCAATACTTTTGTCACGGGGGCGTATAGTACATAATAATTCTTTTTTAAACTAAATTGCCATTTTTTTTCAGAACGTAATACATATATTGGTTCTAAAAATAAAAACATACTGAAAAGAGATAACATATGTGGCTTACGTATAAATGAACATGTCTGTGTTGCGTCCTTCCACTTATCGTACATTATTTTTTTTTTGCTTCATGCCAGCCACCATGCCCCGAGTAAATATTAAACAAATATTGTCGTATCATTTTATTAACCGTTTTAGTACAAGTAACATGTAATTTCTATGAATTTTGTTTGGTAGTATTTAACTCTGGAATCATTATGATTTTGTAATTTATATCGAATAGAACCTAAAAAATGTGTTTAAATATACAACACAGTTCAATAGTAATTGATTTGCTGAATATGAAGAACTTGAAGTTCATTAATCATTTTTCTAATGATGACGCCAAACAGTAAGCAATATCCCTATTGCAAATGTTTGACACAACAAAGAAAAATAAACATAAAATGTTACAACATCGGCGAATTTCAAGCTTTGAATTGTTCATATGAAATGGAAGCGCTCACGTCGCTTGTGAGCACCAGACAATACATTTGGATTTTATCATCTGGATATTTCAGCTCATCTGGATGACGAACACAACACTTTCATCTGACACGGATTACTCGATTTTAAAGTGATTTAGCAATGCAAACGCACTTCCAGTACAAAATAATACATGGAAAATTATGAATAATTTCATCTTTGGAATACTCAACCGAACTCGATTGCCGTTTACATAAAAATACATTATTTTTATATACCATCATAGCAGTAATAATCAAAAACCTTGACCATTTGAAGATCACGATGATATTTTGAGAATGTATTCGGTAATCTACTTTTTATTGACAATAAAAAGTAAAAACAATCATTAATAATGGAATATTGATTGAAGAAGAAACTAATATTTCTTGTTAATCACAATAATTCATATAATATTTGAAATGTCAGATCTTATACTAATAAAGTTGAAATTGATTTAATACATTGAACAAAATTAATGGAAAGTTCCTATTATAAACACTATTATTATGCAATCATTTCTACATAAGTGTAAATAAGTTTTATCCGTTCTCCTTTAATACATCTAGTATGTCAAAAGGTCAATAATAATTTGTATGTATCTATATCTCACACTAATCAATTCTAAAACGAACACAATAAAACTTATCAAACACATAATGAAACATATATGAAAAGCGGCTAATATGTTTTCCATTTGAAGCTTTGACGGTTGTCGATATTTGGATTTCATTTTACGATCATCGGTGTATTTTTTTGTCCAATAATCAATGAGACCGGCTTCCTGAAGCAATTGTATTTGCTCGTCAAATATTTCAATTAACTTCGATGTTCTTCGAAAGTACATAACCGGTGAAAACATAAGAAGCCGATCTTTTGTAAATGCCAATCGCCGATGGGGTGAATTTTTTAAATTAAACGCTTTTTGATTCAGGTCCGACGAAATTATTAGAACATCATGATCATAAGATATATCGAAGTTGCTCATAACATCGGTCCCACCAACTATTACTCTATAATTTTATTAAATAAAAAATAATCTTCAGAAACAACAAAAATCAGAAAAAAAAAAACTATAAAGAATGTACCGGTCCCTGCCAAATATAGGGGTGAACATCTTAGAAATTGAGGGAAGGGCCATTATTTTGCGATCAGAATGGTGGATTTTTTCAATGGTATCATACGGCGAGAACATTCTATTGCTCTGAAGATGTGTGTAAAGTGATCCCTGGTATGCACTTCGAACGATTAGCCACAAGAAAATCCAAAGTATGGTGATAGTTCGGGCGAAATTTCCAAAATTATGTCCATGTACAATTCGTCGATTGCCTATTGGATTTCCCAACACTGTATTCCACATATTTAAAATTGGCGTTCGATTTATGCGACCACCAATGTAGAAGTGTCTCCATTTCTTGTTCAGCTTTTTCGTCAACGATATTAATACCACAGAAATGAGTAAAATCCCACAAATTACAATCCACGAATAACATTGAAATGGTGAGATGAGCCTTGAGAATGGCGAATATGCGTCAATCTCTTTGAAACAAATGCCAATCGCAGCTTGCATATATGATTTGGTGAAAGCAAAAAGGTTTATACGTTCCTCAAATAACATGTATCCACCTACTGTAAATTCTGTCTCTCCATCCAACACCTATCGTGAAAATTTAATGTTACTTGGAAGTGAAAAAATGCAAAAAAAAATCAATTGAAATAAATATTCATGCACCAATTTCAAACTCCCTGCAAAGGTTCCATTTGGATAAATGGTCCCATGTCCAGATCCTTCCGGTGCACATTTATAAACTATTGAAAAGTTATTTGTTTTGGCAATTTGGTTGATAATATCAATGTCAATTCCTTCGTATTGAAAACTTCCATCAGTGGTTTGGTAAGGAATAACATGTGGCTCGGCATTGCTTGGAGCCACATATACGGGACAATGCATAAAATCTTCCAATTTTCGTGGGAAAAGATTATCGACCGGTATTGTCATGTTGTTGGTGTAATTTAGGGGCGTAAACATGTCGATCTTAATTGCAGATAAAGTATGACAGTCTCGTTGAAATGGCATGAATTTAAAGAGGGACCAACACTTTTTATGATCTTTAATTAAAACGTGCGAATTTATCAAACCATTTGTCCACAAAATTTCAAAAATATCGTTCAACATATTTCCAGTGCTTGCCATTTCTTTAAAGGAAACAACTAAAAATGTCTGCGATGAATGACCCCTGAGCACTGTTTTATCGTTTAAAATTTGTCTAAAAGAATGAAATTATTTGTGAAATTTTATTATCATTTGATTGAAAGAAATACAGTCGACACTTACGTCAGAGATTTACCACTATCAACAAAAATAATGTTGAAAGCATTATGGCGATAATGCATTGCATCGTCTAATTTATTGAATGTGTTGTGTGAGAATCCCGTTAAAATGGGATCATCAAATAAATTCATAAAAAAATCTTGTTCGAAATCATGTGTGTTTCTATGAGCTGGTGCAAAAATTATCGAAACGAAAATTTTAGATTCGCTAAAGTATTTTCTAAGATAGTTGGCGATGATTTCAGACAACACAACACTTTCATCTGACATGGATTGCTCGATTTTAAAGTGATTTGGCAATGCAAACACACTTCCAGTACAAAATACTACATGGAAAATTATGACCAAATTCATATTACGAATATTCCAACAGTTATGAAAGGTTGACTTTATTCTTACAACTACACCCATTCACTAAACAATATTTATTATAAATTTGACTATTTTCAGGTGAAGAATGTGTTTATTTTGTATGACTTTCCAATTTGTTTACTTTCTTTCTTCACAATAAGTATACTTTCTTACAATTAACTTCACAATCTATAGTATTAAGCTTTACGATATTTTATTTAGTGTATCCAACATCAATATTTTGTCATCAATCACACATTGTACATTAAATTTGAAACTAATGAATGACATCTGAACCAAAGAAAAAAAAGTGTAAGACATTCCATAATACTTTATTATTTGTGTATTTTTTTCTTAAAATTACCTATTAATTCTAAAAGGTATCATTACGAAACGTAACCGCAAGATTTCCTATTCTTTTATTTTACATAGAAAAACCTAGTATGTCAAAAGGTCAAGACAGGTTTGTATATAACGATATCTCACAGTAATGATTTCTAAAACAAACACAATAAATCCAATCAAATACATGGTGAGACATATGTAAAAAGCGGCAAATATATTTTTCATTTGAAGTTTCGATGGTTGTCGATATTTTGATTGGGTTTTACGATCGTCGGTGTATTTTTTAATCCAAAAATCAACAAGGCCAGCTTCTTTAATTGCTTGTAGTTGTTCATCGAAAATATGTACTAAAACAGATGTTTTTCGAAAGTAAAATATTGGAGAATACATGAAAAGTCGATCTTTTGTGAATGCAAGACGTCGACGGGGAGAGTTTTTCAAATTGAATACTCGTTGATTCAGGTCCGATGAAACTATAAGAATATTTTGGTCATAAAAAATGTCCAGATTCCCCATGAAAGCAGTACTGCCAACGATTACTCTACAATTAAATTGAAATAATAAATAAATAAAATGTGAAATATAACTTTTTCTAACTAAAAATCGAAAAAATAAATACCGGTCTTTGCCAAATATATCCGCCATCATATTGAAAATTGAGGGTGGAGTCGTTATTTTAAAGTCAGATTTACGAATCTTTTCAAACGTATCATACGGTGATAACATTCGATT